TTTTCAAACTTCTCTTTTAGTGACAGTTTATCAAAAATGCTGAAATTGTCCTGGCAGGGGGTTTTGAAACAGGATCTGAGAGGCAAAACAGGGATCTGTTTGCTTTGTGGTTTTGGAATTGCTGCTGGAAAGAAAATTATTTGATTCTGAAGTTTACCGAGAACCATTTTTGGACAGTTCTTGACCCTTGATGACAAAATGTCAAAATTCAGCCAATTAGACAGATTTGAATTGCTGAAATAGACAGTGAAACTGTAGATTTATTTGTTTTCCATTTTTCCCCCTTAAAGACTTGACTTGTGGTCAAAATAATATTTATTTGACTTCAGAGTAAAGGTTAAGAAGCTCCTTGCAGGTGGGTATGCCATTTCTTGTTATCTTAATAGCCTGTCCAACACACCTGAGCTCTTCGGTTGAAAAAATTTAGATGTATTTGTGCACTATCCCCATACCAGTGTGCCCACTACTCCAATCTTTTTATTTTAGACAATCATAAAACTTGCAGGTGGGAGAATTGCAGGAGTTGATGGCAACTACACAAAAGTTAATTACTCGTTCACCTGTAGTTGTCTACAGAACAATAAGGCACCTGCTCATCTCATTAATTGAAGATATGCAGGTAAATTGGCTTCAGAATACCCACAGAAGCTAATTAAAGACTTTAGATGCCTACATCCCCATCAGATATATCTGTTATATTAATATAGAACTGTCAAAATTGATTGAGTGGGGGGGAAAGATGCTAGGGAGGGAGGGAGGAAAGTCCCTGGTTTTTGCTGCTTCCTTTTATGATGATAGTTGGCAAGGACAACTTACACCTGGATACTAGCAAATCTGAAAGAAATATGAGATGAGCCGAGCACAGGAAACACTTATCTGCCTCACTTCTTTTTTCTATCTTAGCAAGGCTCCCGTGGCTGGTGAATAAGTTTTTTAAGCATGGAGAGGTATTATTAGGCAAGAAATGATGTATAGTTCTTGTGTTGTAATTTGGTTTAACAGTATATTTGTGTATATGAGTGGGAGAAATGTGTGTTTTAAGGGATCACAAGATGCAAAGTTTTGGGCTTGCTATTTTTTTTCCAAAAATTTATTAATACCTACTTTCCTAAAAAGTTTTTCTTGAGATGGAAATTTCCAGGTGCATAATTCGTGGAGGCTGTGCACATAAAGTAAAATATACAAAAGAATGAATAGTTTATTTGGAAACAACTAGGTAGCATATTGGGGATATTATGAAACAAGTGAATAAAATTTCTTTCAGCATGCAAACTGCAAAGTTTGTGTTTTAAGTCTTGAATGGAGCTGATGATCTGAAACCCAACAGAAACTATGGTCAGATTCAAGTCAAAATTTCAAAATTCTAGAGCCAACTATTTGTTTACCATAAGCTCTAGGAAATGCATTCACTTGCTCATTCTCCTCACTCTTTCTTTCACCTTTGATAGGAGACACTGTGATTTTTGAAATAAATTGACTATGAGTGTCCAGCTGGGCAGGAAAAAATTGAAATATATACATTGGGCCTATAAAACATATTAACGAGGACACTGTTCCTTCCTCTATATCTTCAATCCCAGTTTGGTGTCTTTTCAAAGGAATGGTTTAACAGCTGTGCCTGCTGCTACAGGCCATGCTTAGACCCCAGTCTGATTCATGGCTGAGGATTTATAAATGCCTGCTTTAAAAAAATTCTACTTTCATTGAACTCGGGAGAAAATTAATATGTTTGGCACAGGAAAATAAATGTCCCTCACACCTTGAGATTCCATCATTAGTGAAATTTTTGAGGTGAGAAAACAGATACGGATGTGTAGAGTTACATGGTTATTGCAGAGGAACGGTATAGCAGAATGGCGCTGAATGGAGAGTCTCACATTCTAGAAGGCAGGTGATTTGATATGGTCTTATTAACTTCTTGATTTTTACAGTGATTAGGTTTTTCTCGTGGTTCCATGCTGTTGTGATTCAATACATGGAGCAGAAGTAGATTTTGAGATCTACAATGCATTAAATAATCAGAAAAAAGTCTTCTTTGCATTTTAGGACTGACTCCAATCGAAGACTTGAGCAAGACATATTTATCAGGGCATTTTATCAGTTGTAATAATAATAAAATTTTATTATTATTGATGTTTTATGTTTAAATTCATTGAGAGACATGAATTGAAACACCAAAAACATTCATTCTTGCATTTCAGATAATGCGAGCCATCTTTCTGATAATATAATTTATATAGAAAGCTATTACCTGATGTTATATATACATTTAAAATAGGAGGAAAAAGAAATAAAAATTCTATCTCTGTTCTATTATAGGATATGGTGGACTTAGTTTGTCCATTGAAGGCCCCAGCAAGGCAGACATTGACTGTCAAGACACACCAGATGGAAACTGTTTGGTCTCCTACAAACCCACTGAACCAGGAACCTATATCATCAATATTAAGTTTGCGGATGAACATGTTCCAGGTAAGTCAGTCTTTGCTTGGGTGTTTGTATACGAGTGTGTGTGTCTTTCTACCTGGATATCCTCATTTCCTTATGAATTTATTTTTCGTTAGACAACATATTGTGAGAGGTAAATGATTTCAGTACTATAGCTGTTGGTTGAAGAAAAAACACAGCTTTATGCTAAATCTAAGCTCATGTTTAAGCCAGAAAGGTAGCATGAAATTTTCACCCCATTATCATATACCTATGAGAGGATTAAAACTTTCAGTAAACCTCTTCTGATTATCCATCTTTATCCTTTTCTAAGACACATTTTCATGTTTTAGTAGGGGGTTTTTTACTCAAATGTTGTCTGCCCCCCCCCCCCCTCCCCCTCCACCCCGAAATCATTTTGGTAGTGGATGTGTAACATAATTCCTCATCTGCCTCTGCATTTTCCAAACCAAAAATGAGCCTAAGATTTTTACATCTACCATAAAGCCAATAAAATGTGCAGTGAAATATATAGGCAGCATCTGAGAGCAGTAAAATGTGGCAGATTCCTGGCAACCAGCAGTTGAACATTTTATCAAAACCTGATTTAAAACACCAGGAAATGGTAGTTTATCCAGATCTACGTCTGTATAAGCCCATTAATTTTCTTCTGTCTAAATGGCAAAGAAAAAACTGTTGAAGGTGTATTCAGACAGCTCTTAACCTTATACCGAGAACGGTTTTGGTCTAAACAATGCCACCAGATGATCTGTTAATGTGCAGGTGATCTAGTACTCTGTACCTAGAGGGAGCTCAGTGGAGACTGCCCTCCATTAGGACAATTGTCTTAATAAAAAAAATGATAAATAAAAGTGTTAAGCAATAAGTAACTAACATCACCTGTGTTTAAAGGTTAGAAAATCATTAGGGCCCAGCAGGGGCATTCAAATCAGTAGACTAACACTTTTCTGCTTGCCGCTTAATTCAACATTTTGACACTGAATAGATTCCATATGGGGATTACGCAACAAGTATTCAAGTGGATCGGCCATATTTGATCCGTGGATCTGTTAGTCCCCTGTTCTGAATATGCGCTTTGATTACTGGTCATGCCAATTGGTCATATGGTTGTAATAGTTGGAAAAAGCCAAGGCCAAATTTGTGTCTGGACGCTGCTCTGTAGGAGTGCTGGCCTGGACAAACATTATGCCTGGTATAACAAGGTGCAAAAAGGTTGGACGTGCTTCAAAATAAATATACCCATCACCCAATATAGCACTACATTTTCAGTTTTTTTGTCAAATATTGGTCACACTCGAAACAGATTTTTTCACTTTTCTGCTGAGATAACCAATAGTGTGGTTTTGCAGTATTTACATGTTTTTCTTTTTCTTTTTTTTTTTTTTTTTTTCGATAAATTTTGTGCAGTATTTTCTTTGAAATTGCAAGACTTGATAAAAATCCACACCTTATGCCACCACACCAGGGTATTGAATCCACAGTGAACACAACTGGCAAGATTGTGTTTGCATTCAGTTGTGTGACTAATTTTAACCATTTGCACTGAATTTATGGAAGTTTGGAAAGTGAGTCTTTTTTTATTCAGACAGTTAGGAATTGAAGTGTCTCTGCATTTGCCAAAAGAGGAAAAAAGAGAAAGTTAAATGCTAGTTTGAGCTTAGGACAACAGCAACTGTAAACATAGAAACACTGATGAAATCAGCACTACACACACACACACAGACAAGAACTCTAACAAATTATTTTAACAGCAGTGGAAAAAAGAGCAAGTGTATTAAAATAACATAAATAAATCATGTAAAACAAGCACATCATTTGAATAAAAAACGTACAGTATTTTGGAAATTCTGCATCAACCAACCTACATACACAGATATAAGCCATAAGAGAATCATTCCAGATAAAAGAGATTCGAAATTCTCAACATAAAAAAAAAGCGCTGCTTCAGCTTACTTGACTTCATCACTCTCCAGCAACAGTATCTTAATAGGTATCCTGGGTAGCCACATATGCCTCAGTATCTCTGTGCCTTATTAAGGTAAAGTTCAGTACAGAGCCTCGACCCTGGGTCACCTGTAGAAACCACTTTGACCTTTCGCTAGACTTTTACGTGTTTAGAGAAGAAATAAAAGAAATTGGGAAAGGCTAGCATAAAACACCTGATGTTATAATACCAGTCCAGTGTGATTTAGTAGACGTGAGGTTGAAACGTTGGTTGTTGTTATGTAGGTGTTTTTTTGTTATTACTGTTATAGAATAGAGTAGTTTTGTTTATCTGCTAAGTTTTTTTTTAAAAGGAGGGGGATTTTCATACATGTCTCCCACAACAACTTGTGTTGGCAATTTTCTTTGAAGTTTGCGAAAGTATTTTGACTTAAATATCTCTATCTTCCAAAGATTTGTTCAGACCTTCCTTTTGTAGAAACCGTGCCCTGTTTTACTTATTTAAACAAATATCACCCAATAAATATATATATGCAGCTAATATGTACAATATCTCCTAATGCTAGCCTATTCTTCTTTTAAGTTGAAATTCCGGGTAAGGTATTGCCATTTGTCTGATTCACTTATTTTCAATAATTCTCTTCAAAATTTGTAAGGTTTACATAAAGGTTCACTGGAAAGCCAGATTTGTTCTTTAGAAGAAAGAATCAAACCTGTAGAATTTCAGTAAAAAATTTTCAAGTACAGTTTTGATTAGACAACAAAGTTCAATCTTCTTCAGAATACACCTGTCTTGAGGACCTTGTAATACTTTCTCCAACTTGGGTTCAGGGTTTCGTAACTAGCAAATTTTTAAGTTTTCTTCAACAACCAAGTAGAATAGTTGTAGAGGATTACCCAGTAGACCACTAGGCCGAGAGAGAAAGGTAGAGAGAGAGAGAGAAAGGGAGGGTTATGGTAAAGAGTTATCAGGCACAGAGGTTTGCATTTACATTGAGGTCGCATTTACATTGAACATAATTAGACTAGATGCCCCATAGAGTAGAGACCCTTGGAAAGTGGTTGACCCGTATGCAGTGTAAACGCGACCTTTGATGTGAGCCACCCCAACGAACAACCCAAGTTAACTTCATAATAAAAACAAGCTGATTATAAATGCAGTGCAGTCCTTTTTAAATCCTGAACAGATTTGGTCCAGTTCTGTACCCACATTTTATATTAACAGCACAGACATTTCTTTTAGAATGCATGTACAAATGGTAGCGCAAACAGTTACAATCAAATCAGGGCCTTATTCAGGAAGTGATTTCTTTCAGTCTTAATTTAATCAGTTCTTTTATTTTTCTTATGGGTGAAAATTCTATTCTTCGAGTTCAATATTTTCAACTGGGATGGACACTAAAATTTGTGACTTTTTTAGATGGCATGTTGTAAAAAAAATTAATAATAATAATAAGTAATAAATGAAGAAATTATTGGATATATGAATGAATGCTCCTCTATATTTAAGCACATTATATATTATATATTATTATATTATTATATATTTAAGCACATTATGGATAAAATAAGATGTTTTTGTCATATTATAAGTAAACCATTGGTTTGAAGATAAAATGATTTCAGAGAGATGTAAGCATATTTCTTGTTTTATTCCATTTTATACAGATAATTAGGATTTAAATTTACAACATACTTACGTGGCCTTTTAAGTTTACCTCTATGACTTTCACCTTGGAAGGATGACCCTGACCTATATTAAGGGCTTTGTGTGACCTTGACCCTACCTCTGCTTTCAGGCAGTCCATTTGCTGTCAAGATCCGCGGAGAGCCATCAGACAAGCTGGTGGAGAAGATCATGCGCCAGGCGCAGGCCGTGGATGTCACACATGTCGGGAGCCAGTGTGAACTTAGCCTTAAGATCCCAGGTAAAGATCAGAACTTGACCCAAATTTAAGGCAATTTTGATTAAGATTTCCTATGAGGTGTTTGTGTAAACTGACCTTAAATCTTGAACAGTTGCATAATCTGTGGCAACATGATAGTACGGAGACGACATCTTTGACTAGAATAAATTGAAATCTGTTAATTTATTGCAGTTCATACTTCAATATGGATGTATATGTGTAATTTGGTTATTATAAAAAATGTAATAACTGTATTGCTTTTGTACTGTAATTCTCCACACACATTTGTACCATCACATAATGATGTTATTATGCTGTAAATGTATCTTTACACACTCTTTTGTTCTATCACATTGTCATGTTATTGTACTGTAATTGTATCTTCACACATAGTTTTGTACCATCACATTGTCATGTTATTGTACTGTAATTGTATCTTCACACATAGTTTTGTACCATCACATTGTCATGTTATTGTACTGTAATTGTATCTTCACACATAGTTTTGTACCATCACGTTGTCATGTTATTGTACTGTAATTGTAGGCTCCAGCCCTGTGGACATGAATGCCTCAGTGACCAGTCCATCTGGAGTGACCGAGTTGTGCGAAATCATCGACTTGGACGACTGCCACTATAGCATCAAGTTTATCCCCAAGGAAATGGGAGTCCACACTGTTAGCGTGAAGCACAAAGATATGCATATACCTGGTTAGTGATCAAAGTCATGTAGTCAATTTGCAATGCTTATGTATACTCTAGCCTGTATACATGCAGCCTTTCAGTTTGCATGTATTTTGCTGAATCTTTGTTTTCAATATGTATTTGTGATATATGATCACAGTGTTGCTTCGAGTGAGAAGCAGAATGAATGTGTTAACATAAGGTTATACTTGATGCGATATATTTAAATGTTTATTCGTAAAACTAGTACAGTTGAAAGTCCATTTGTATGGGAGAATAGAAGGGGCGTGTTTTTCTCATTTACATTGTTTCTCCTCTTCTCTCCCCGAAATAGGCAGCCCATTCCAGTTCACAGTTGGTCCTATCACAGAAGGTGGCTCACACAAGGTTCATGCTGCTGGCCCTGGCTTGGAGAAGGGAGAGGTCAACGAGAAATGTAAGTATTATAATTATATATTATCACATCTTTGTATGGCATCATACCTATGTTTCAATGCAAATAACTTGAATCTTGAAATGTGATGAGTAAATTAAAGAAATAAACATGTTTCACTTAATTTTAACTGGATATGTCAGAATATTGCTGTAAATGATTAAAGGCAATCTAATTGTATTTTGAACTTTTACCTAACTGAAAATGTTGATTATAAAACCATTCTTTTTTCATTCATGCAAAATAAAGAAGGAAAAGGGTAATCAGATGTAGTAAAGTACCCCCAAAATGTTGAGCACAGTATGTATTTTAAAAGTTTAACTGAAAACATTTATTATGTCTATTTCAGGCGAATTCAACATCTACACACGTGAGGCAGGTGCTGGAGGTCTGTCGATTGCAATTGAAGGACCATCCAAGGCAGAGATTGACTTTGCGGACCGCAAGGACGGGTCGTGTGGAGTGTCCTACGAGTGCACAGAACCTGGTATGGACATTGTTGTGCATTAACTTTAAGCTCTAAAGTACATGGATGATTTGATGTACGGACTTGTGTTTTACATTTGAGTTTAACAAAAGTGAGAAGTGGAAGAAGTGAGAAGCTTTATGTAATATATCTACATGCAGGCTCATTTTGGTTGTATGAATAAGTAAGTTTTTTTCAATTTTTGAATTTAAAAATGTACTAACAATTATATGTGCTGACAATTACAGATGAAAGTACTTCTTATGATTTATACTTTCTTCAAAAAAATTTAAATCTTCAGGATGTTTATTGTGAACAAAAAAAAAATATTCTGAAAAAAAAAAGAATACAGAAACAAAATGAAAAAAAAATTCCATCTGTTTCAGGTGAATACATGGTGTCTATCAAGTTTAATGATGAGCACATCCCTGACTCTCCATTCAAAGTGTACATGTCAGCCTCCAGTGGAGAGGCCAAGACGGTCACTGTAGCAAGTCTAGAACAGGCGGGACTTGTGGTAAGAGTCTAATAGGTTACTACTTCCTGATAAGTGGGACACACTTGGATGTGAAGAGTTACCAGAATTTAGGGCGAACCCGGAGTACAAAGAGATTTGGCTTAAAATTCAATCACAGTTTTTCAAGTTTTTTTTTTTTTTTTAATTGATACTGTATTTTTATGGAATAGCCTGAATGTTATGCAGTACATAATTTTTGTAAAAACCTGTGATTTTTTTTTAAAGGAAATACAAAGATTCAAATTCAGATAAGTGGTCACTGGTCTTGTATCAAATGCACTTTCATTTGGTTTNGTCTAATAGGTTACTACTTCCTGATAAGTGGGACACACTTGGATGTGAAGAGTTACCAGAATTTAGGGCGAACCCGGAGTACAAAGAGATTTGGCTTAAAATTCAATCACAGTTTTTCAAGTTTTTTTTTTTTTTTTAATTGATACTGTATTTTTATGGAATAGCCTGAATGTTATGCAGTACATAATTTTTGTAAAAACCTGTGATTTTTTTTTAAAGGAAATACAAAGATTCAAATTCAGATAAGTGGTCACTGGTCTTGTATCAAATGCACTTTCATTTGGTTTCATGTTTTTTTTTCCTTTCTGTACTCAGATTGGCAAACCAAGCACATTCTCTGTTAACTTGAATGAAGCCAAGGTGGGACGTCTTGAAGCCAGAGTAACTGCGCCATCTGGTGCCGAAGATAATGCGTTCATCCAAGAGATTGATGAAGGCAAGGGCATTTTTCCAAACTTGCCAAGTTGAACCCAACTTAGCACCTAGTGGAATGCATGGATATTTATTTAACAGATTACATTTTAAACTACTCAAACAAAACAGGGGTGGAAAGCATTGTTGACTAGTAACCAAAATTAAAGCCACACTTGTTAAGTGTAAAGTCTGCATCACTATGCCATATATTTATCGATGTTGTTTAGAAGATTTGCTTCACGTTTTAAAACTTTACTTTTACATTAATTCGACACTTTTTAATCTATTGTCTCTCACCTCCAGGCCACTATGCTGTTAGGTTTATCCCCAGAGAAAATGGCCGCCATTACATCCATGTGCTATACAACGGCAACCACATCCCAGGCAGTCCATTTGTTGTCATGGTAGGCAAACTGGACGCTGATCCTGGCATGGTTCAGGCCTATGGTCAGGGACTGGTCAAGGGAGAGACAAGTAAGTTCTCTTAAGTGCTGCCATATTCAACATTTTATAATTGTCTAGCTTACTTTATGGAATAAAGAAGACCTGGTATGAAAAGGTTCAGGTGGATTTATCTTTGGCATGCTAAAAGACAGAAGGTAAACAGATATTATATGTACTTTTGGACCAGAAAGCTGACATCTTTGAATTATTTAAATAAAATAGAGTCAGGCTCAGCATTTTGGAGGCCTCTGTCATTGTTTGCAAGGTACTTTAATTGTACATTTATCAGATTTGCATGGGAAATTCTCTTTTTCTTTTTTCCAGTTCTTCTATTATCCAGCCAAACTAAATGGTGACTTACAGTATACATAATTATATATATATATTATCTGTTTTCTTTTTCAGACAAAGTAGCTAAGTTTATTGTGAATACAATGAATGCAGGAGCAGGTGCCCTGTCTGTGACAATAGATGGGCCATCCAAGGTAGATCTACAGTGCAAAGAGGTAGAAGAGGGTTACGAGTTCTCATACACACCCACATCCCCTGGAGGTTACCTTATCGCCATCAAGTTTGCTGGCAACTACCACATTGTAGGAAGTCCATTCAAGGCTAATATTACAGGTAATCTGGCTGATATAGGACAAATCATGTGTAATATGATGATAAAAACAACTATTAAGTTTCCGTTATTCCACTTTTTTCTATGAATACCAAAATGTTGCCTTTATTTATGTGTACCACGTTTTGAAGTTCATACAGTAGAAGTTCTTAAGTTGTTCAGGTCACAAAAAGATTGTAGTTGTGACAAAATCATCTTATGGACAGATTTCTTCATAACTACAAACCATGTAACAAATGAGATTATGGATCAAGCAATACTTAATATCACCACATAGGATTGACATTTCTGATCATGTCATTGAAGATATCCAGTGATACAATTACTGCAATCTAAGTAAAAGGAAATGTTGTTAATAGCACAGCTTAGGTGTCTTACTTAACAAAAAGGGCTGATACTAATGATTTATAGTTCCTGAATTTTTGATATGGCAGTATTAATTTTGACCGTGACCTTAATAGTACTTTTAGTTTTGCAGTAATTATACATCTCCAATGTTAAAATGGTTATGCTACACACATGTAAAACCTCAATGCAGACTTTAGAATTAATACACACAAGAAAGTACACAAGGAACCCTCGTGCTCAAAATGAGATAAACTAACCCAGTCTTTTCATGAGGTTGGTTACCTCAGAGGTATTTTCATCTCATTCAAGGTGGATGTTACAGATAAAGGGTACCATTAACCACAGGAACCTCTCTTGTATGTCTGGTAATTGGGTGGAGGTATTCTAGATAAGAACCAACCTTTGAAACCCAGAGATCCGCATACGAAATGATAGCTAAACTATGGTACTAAAATTAGGAGTTGTTTTTTTTTAAAGCAAAAGTCAGTATGAATATTGAGTCAAGATACAAGTTGTGTTTAATTTTAGTACCTTTCCTCTCTGAAGGAGTACATGTAGAGAGCAAGCTCAGTCATAATCCCAGAAACCTAATTAAAAGACCATTTGAGATAAGAATCCGAATTCCACATCCTTGTACATGAGCATGTTTTAGACACGTACCGCCCAATTTCCTAGGAATGTCCGATTTCTTGTTTTGATAGCAGAATACTTGTTGGAAGCCCGTTTACATGATCCTACAAGAAATACTCATATTCATCACAAGTTTACTGAAAAGGAAAGACCAGATGTTGTTAGTCTCTGGAAGAAACACTGAATTTGATATTTGAATGCAGCAGTTGAGATGTTGAATGCAGTGGTTGACATCATTTTAGGCCCCATTCAGAAAAGGGGATCTGAGGGTCAAATATGGTGACCCACCACAAAGCTTGCCATCTAATCTGCTAATAGACGCTGAATGGATATCCCGTATTCAGTGGGTTAGCCATATTAAACTCTCAGACTAGTTAGTCCCCTATTCTGGATAGGGCGCTAAATGCACTGGTTGAAAATAAAGCAGGTTCAACTTATCTGCTG